CAGTGGGATTTCGGCGAAACAAATTAAGTTTTTTGAACATTTAATTCTAATATTTGAACATTCAATTCTAATATTTGAAATTCATTATAAATTTGTACGAAATTTACAATTTTATACAAAAAAAAACTGGTAAATAACAGAAATTAGGAATTTTGTTCAACTAAAACTTGTTGAGGCTTTTGTTCCAACTGAGCAATGTTTTTTTTCTAATAAATTTTGTTTTGATTACTTTTGTTTTACCTCCCTTGTCACCATTGTCCACTAAATGTGTTTTAACATCTGTCAAATTTCTGTTTTGACTTTGTCCCGTATGGACAAAAATTAGATCCCTCGGTCTTCCTACGTCTTTTAGCTATGAACAAAGTAAATATCGGAATTTGTACTTTAGATTTTTGAATACAAAGGGTCATACTTGCTACCTCTAACGTAACCTCATATAATAATGATGCTATGTATGGTATTTTTATGGTGCTTTTGGGGTTAAGCTTGCTTGAGAGGTATGTGTTAAAATAAAGCGTTTACTTCCATTTTTCGGCTGTTTAGTTATAGTATTAGCACTAATATATGGGCAGAATTTCGGAATGATATTTCCACCGCTTTTTATGGCATTTTTGATCTTAGGTTTATATGGAGTTATAGTTTGAAATATATCGATTACGTCCAATTTATGAGTATTTTGAGTATTTTGAGGTTCGATTTATATGGGAGGTATGCTTTATAATAAATTGATCAGGTCAATTTTTCGTTCTTTTCTTGATTTATGTCCATAAATGTTTCATACGGAAAATTTGGCTTCTACGCCGACCACTAATTTTTTCTAACAAATTACGCGACTGCACCACTGTGCGTCGTAAGTATGGTAATGTTTTAGAGGGTTTGCAAGATACCATATATTATAAGTTCACGATTATGTAAAAAATAGTTGTTTTTTTGTGCAATTACAAGCTCTGCATGCCTTCTAATTGTTGCTTATCATTATTAGAATAAGGGTGTGTTCACAAAGAAAGCCGAGCGGCGCAAGGCGGAACGAATTGAAGCGGAGCTTTTCTCATGGACTCGGCTGCAAAGATACCACAAAATTTCCCGTCAATGAAAAGCGGCAAAAATATTTGCTAAAATTTATTCAAAATGTTAGCTGTGAAATTAATTTGAATATTTCGATATCTTGTTTGCAGAAGCACCATGCTGCTGAAATATTAAATAGAAAATTCTAAATCAAAAACTGCTTCTGAAAAAGCTTTCTGTATGAACACTTTCATATAGCTATAGCAATTTGAAAACTTCACTCAGCTCGGAACGGCTTCGCTCGGCTCGGCTCCGCTTTCTGTGTGAACGTACCCTAAGTTGTAAATATTTGTAGCTTTATACATATTTATATGTAACTTTTACTGACTAGATTGCTCTATAGAACTTTTAATAAATCGTTTGATCACACAGCACCACAACTAAATTTCGTCCGTCGCACATTGGGGCAGATACCCACAAAAACTGCCGAAAATTAAAAAAGTAACCGAACCGAACTTTATGTACCCGGTACGTATTAAATATCGTTTTTTCACCGTTCTGTAAACGGCATGATAAGCAATAGTGTTTTTCCCGATTTCAAACAGTTTCGAGTTTTCGTATTTCTTAAATATGCCGTTATATGGTAAGTAGGGGTAATTTTAGTCCGATTTCAAAAATTGTCTACGTATTGCTTCTTTGCGCCAAGGTTAGTTACCGAGTTTGGTGCCACGCCCATTTTCCATTAGTAAAATTTTCTGCTCAGACGTCTTCCCATATATCGATTTTGAGGGAATTGGCGTAAGTAGTTGCTAATCTATCGCAGTTATCGTATTTCCAAAGATTACCGCTACATGGCAGGTTGGCGTGGTTCTTGTTTGATTTAAAAAAATTTCAACGGATTTCTAAATTAGACTCTAAGCATCAGTATTTGCGGAAATACCGTTCTGTAGGAGGTGGGTATGGTTATTGTCCGATTTTGCCCATTTTCGATACCTTGGATAAAGGGCAGCCTACCTAACAAGTTTCCATATCTAATTTTTTCTCGAGTTATCGTGTACACGGATGGACGGACAGACGGACGGTCAGGCAGACATAGCTTAATCGGCAACTGCTGTTTCTGCATGACTCGTAACCTTTTAGGGTTGCTTGACTGTCAGAGAAGATAAAGAGCTGGATTTTCTTTTTGGGTCTTGTTATTAGGTGCCGCGGGTCTCATGGATAGCCAGAACCTCCGTCTGGTATACACTGCAGTGGTCGGGAAGTCGAAACAATATTTCTAGTTTCAGCCACGCTCCGACCTTTGCGTCGAGTTCTTAAAGCTGCAAAAGCGGCTCTTTCTTTACAGAGCCTAGAGCTCCGCTTATGCATAGCTCCGTAATTCTTTGTTCTGAGGGTAGGCCACCATACTAGGTCTCCGTAGAGCAAAATCGGACGAACAATGGCAGTGTAGAACTAGTGAACTATGCTAGATGTGAAGCCCCACGGTACACCGATGGCCTTTTTTACATATAAAGAGCGCTGTGGTGATTTTCTTGATCCGTTCAATTGTGTTGTCATTCCAGAGCAGGTTGCTGTCGAGAGTTACTCCAAGTTACTTGGCAGAACGGAAAAAATGACTACCTCAGTTTTAGCTCGGTTAACCTCAAGACCGCAGTTTTTGGTCCAAGTAAGGATTGAAGCAAGAGTGGCTTCCCTAATATCGCATAGGGTCATATCCATCGGCCTCCATGAGCCGCAACAAATGATTCACTGTCACTACCCATATGTGTAAAGAGAGAAAACACCCCCTGTGGAGTGCCCCTCCTGTCAAACGTGTGAATCGTCTGCCACCCCGATTCCGAGCTCACCGCCCTGCTGGTGAGCAACTGGTGGACAATCCTAACCAGAGCCTTTTCCACCTGCAGGCCCGTCAGAGCCGAGGTAATCGCATACGGCAGCGCATTGTTGAAAGCCCCTGCTATCTTCAGCAATGCCACTGATGCAATTTCCTTTATTTCTAGTGATCATAACATTAGGGATTAGTCGGACAATATTTTGCGGGAAAATCTCAGAGGCAGGAGCGCACCCAGGAATATATTTTGGGAGGGGTTTATACTTCTGAAAATTCAGATAATATGCTCTTTAAAGAATATTTATGCAAGTTTTCTGGCCGCTGTGGTGTAGTGGTAAGCAGTGCGCGCTTCCACTCCGCAACGCCTGGGTTCAAGCCCTGGTCAAAGCAACATCGCAAAAAATATAAAAAAAAAGGTTTTTTCTTAACAGCGGTCGTCCCTCGGCAGGCAATGGCAAACCTCCCGAGTGTGTTTCTGCCATGAAAAACAGCTTCTCATAAAAATACAATCGCCGTTCGGAGACGGCGTAAAACTGTAGGTCCCTCCGCTTTGTGTGACAACATCAAGGCGCACGCCACAAATCGGAGGAGAAGCTCGGCCAAACACTAAAATATGTGTAAGCGCCAATCTATTATATTATTATTATTATGTAAAAAATAAATAAACTTGTTGAAGTTTCAGAAATTGCACTTTACTTACATAAAATTAACAAAGTACTCAAACATTTTTAACCGACTTCAAAAAAGGGGAAGGTTATCAATTCGCCGGAATATATTTTTGTTATTTTATGTATGCTACCGCATAACTTTGGACCCCGATTTCAGTAATTCTTTTTTTTTTATCGGTAAAGGGTACCTGAAGGGTCGTCCGGTAGTTTGAAAATTACTCGTTTAATATAAAGTTCTATAAAAAATAACTGAACTTGTATTTTTATTATGTAGCTCATTTTGGTGGAACGAATTCGAAGTTGGCAAATTAAATCTTCGAATCCATGTTAAGTACATATCAGTGGTAAACTCTTTTAGACTACAAAGTGTAAAAAACAACAGTAAGTGAGTATGCATTGCATATTTTAGGACAATGTTTTCATTCGCAGTTAAACTTTTAAGAGCTCTCAAGAAAAACGAAAAATTAATATAAAATAACGCACACGAAATGGAAAAGTAATTTTCTTCTATCAAAATTTCTTACTCCCCTAAAAATACTTACACCCCTTCCATATATGTATGTGCTCTTTGACACCCACTCAACTAGCACATCTGCTTTGGTCCGATACCATCGAAACAGCCCATAACCTGCCATTTTCTGAACTTGACGACAAGGGTTGAAAGATTTATATAAACTAGTTTAGGCCAGGTATCCGCAACAATAACTTCACAAGCAGAAATCTTCTTCGGGAGGAAATTCTCAATAACGAAAAGTCTAAAAAATGGGTTACCTCACTTGATTACAGAAAATGTATATAAAAGGATACTGCTACTGACAGCACAATAACCATCAATAGTTTTCGTGGAACCGGAGCCATTTCCGGGTCTTGGCTAGCCCGCTTCCAAGTTTTTAATTGAGTACAGTTTTTAGAGTGCAGATCCGTTCGTGCAGCAAAAAGCTAACGCACTTAATCGACAGTAAAACGTCTCTAGGCAAGAAATAGGGTACTAAAGCCCACAGAGAGCACTGGATTTATACAGCAGTCATGCGTCCTATTTTACTCAACGGCATCACAGTCGGGTGGACATCACTGAATAAGTCGCTCACTAATTTTAATGTTCAAAGGGTGACATGCATGCTAGCCACAGGAGCGCTGGAAACTCTTCTAAAATGTCTGCCTGTTTACCTTTTCGGAAAGTTTCAAGCTATTCAGTAAGACTAAATGCACTGTCAAAATGGAGAGCCACTAGATTCGGTCACACCAAGATTCTAACGATCTACCCCGATACTATTAAGTCCCAGGCCACAAAACGCCTGTATACCTTCGAGGAAGCACTGGGAGGGCGATGCAGCTGGGCGCCTCCATTATAGCTCTAGAACCATATACGCGGATGTCTCTAAACTAAATCCAAGAGTAGGGAGTGGGATACAATCAAAGGACTTCTTGTTAGCAAGCATAGCACGCTGGCATAAAAGAGGCTGCATTTTGGCTTATAGAATCTTCTCTTAATCTGCCTTCTCCAACCATATACTCACATAGTCAAGCAGCTATAAAATGTAGAAATGCGACTTACAAGGTAACTGCAAGGCAGAGAACCACCATGTCTGACGTCAAAACTTTCCACGATGCGGGAAAAACATGGCTTAAATTACAAAAAGGCAAATAAAAAACGGTCGGTAGAAGCCACGTGTGGGACCACCCGACAAATCTGGCCCAGCTTCGAGGAGAAAATATCCAACACACTCATTCTAAGGCAAGTGCGGCCACATAACTTCGGTATCATAACTTGGACCTACTTAATGGGCAGGCACGCTAGCAGAATGGGTTTGCCGGTAAATAATTTCTGCCAAAGCTGCCGCGACGAGGAAGAAATTGAGGGAGTGGAATACTACCTCTGTCACTGCACTGCCTTTTCGTGGGCGATAAGACGCCCATTGCACCACCACCTCTTTGTATAAACCTTTACGAGAACGGATGGGATCGACTACGAACTCTCAATTGGTATCACGACGTTACCACTGGACCTAAGTGCGCCTATCTGCAAAATTGGAGATGTGCTGAGTCGATATATTTTAGTATTGATCGATACTCGGTACTGATTTAAAAAGTATCCACAACTTTCGACACTCGGTACCAAAATATTGGAATTTCTAATAAATGTCCGAAATCGCCAAAAAAATATGGAATAAAAGCTGTTTAGGGGAGCCTCGGCTATGAAAAAGCTCTCTTAGCCAACTCATGCACAGCACTATTTCTTGCAATATATGTAACTATGGCGTGGTCTACTAACAAGGATGTAATCAGACGCAGCTGAAAGAAAAAGATAGAAAGAAGCACACCTTGACCGAGCCCCAGAACCTGATAGTTGCTGGGCTAACCGAATAGATGTCCAATCGGAAAACATTACGGTGATCTGCAAGAACAATTTCGGGCAAACGAATACATATTTGGGTTGTCTGTTTGTCTAAATCTTAGTAAAACTTTTTTTAAGTATCGGCAACTACGTCACCCACATAATATATATTTTTTTGTTTTTTCAGCCATAATATTGGTTCAGGTGAGTGTGAGTTGATAACGATTTCTATGTCTGACAGATATAATTCTAAGTACTTATGAACTCATACGTATGTATGTATGTACATAGGCAATCGAATCCGAATAAAAACCACACCATACGAATAGCCGCATAGACGATGACAAAAAATAGCAAAATTAGACGATAAATACGACTATGAAATGTAGACAAAAACATAAATAGGCACAAGCGGAAATTATGAAAAGGTGAGTGCTGTAAAAAAAACAACAGCGTTGGGAATTGAAGAAGGCCGAAGTGGACAAGAAAAATTGGAAGCGAAAGGTAAATAAAAACAATTTAGAAAAAGTACTGAGGTGTTAACCAGAGAGAGAGCGAGAGAAAGAGAGAGAGAAAGAGACGAGCGACAGTGTGTGGGAACAAGAATGAGAAATAGTGCTAAAAGAGCAGGAAACAAAAAGTGAACGGAAGTAATGGCGTAATAAAATGTGGCAAAAGCGCCAACAACCACACTCAATAGATGAGGAAGTGCGAACTACAAACATTTGGTGGAGACAGTCACACAAAAATAAAATAGAAAACACGAAATACGGCGAATCCAATAAAAGTGTCATAAAAACAAGTTGCGCTCACGAAAGAGAGCTTGTTGCAGCTACATATGTAAGTACTTGGATAGTGTGTGTGAGTAATAAGTTTCGAAAACTTGAATGTGAACGCAAATAAAAAACCTAAATCCCATAAAATAAAACGAAAATAAAATCGAGATTATCAACGAAGCAAGTGAACGACGGCAATGGCGATAGCGATGAGGATGACGACAACGACAACGACAACGACGACAAACAACCACCGACAACCACCAGCGCACCGTGTCAACAACACCAACGGAAAAAGCAACAAACACCAACCAAACAGCAGCAATAGGAACAGCAACAGAGCAACGAAGCATCAGAGTGCACCAGAGCACCAAAGCTTGGAGCAACTGCGTACAGCGAACAGACCAGCTAGTTCGGTTTTAGTGACTTGACCGCTTCATCGAGGTGGTTGCTTTGCTCAGTAGCTGTATGCCCGTCAGGCGCGTCGGTTGTAAACTTTTAGCAGACGGCCGCCATTGTGGACGCCATTTTCGATGAACGTGAAGACGTGAATACATGCCTAGATACGGCTTCAACGAGCATAGGCGCAGCAAACGCTAATAAACATTAAAAAAAAAACCTTAAAAGTGTGTGATAAGATTAAATGAAGACAGTGCAAGCAAATACGAAAATAAATAAACAATAAAAAAAAATGTTAAATTTTGTGGCGGCTAGTGTGTCTCGTCTACGTCTACAAACGTCTGGTGCGCGTACACTTGGGCTATTTTCGGTTGCTTAAAACACTTGCAACGTATAGCGAGTAGTTTGCGCGATTATTTCACAGCAAAAAAAAAAAAAACAAGAAACAGAAAACAAAATTTTTGGCTGAAGATTTCTTTTTGCGCTGGGTTTTCGGTCCGACACAACGACGCAAGCAACAACGTCTGTGCTGAAGAATTATTTACTCAGCAACAATAAAATTATGTAGATAAAAATATGAGTGGCGTAAAAGGCATAAATAAATAAATTCCTTTGCGCTATTTTTGTTGTGGTATTTTTTTTATTTTTTATTTTTATTTTTTTGAGATTGCGTTTGAGTGAACGATTTCTTTACGTAATTGGAATGAGACTAGACAGTTGAAGCGAAATACAATTTAAAAAACCTTTTTTTTTTCATGCAAAAAAATAATTAAATAATTAAAATAATAACAACGGCAGGCAAATTTTTCAAGTAGCAAACGCGTGATGAGAGGAAAGTGTGAAAAAATCGCTTGTTATCAAAAACAATTTTTTAACAAAAAAAAGCAAGAAAGTTGCAGCTAAATAAGCAATCATTGCACGAGTAACATAAAAGGACAATATTTGAAAGATATAATAAAATAAATTTAAATAAAATTTAAAAAAAAGAAAATGCATTAAAAGCTCTCATAAAAAATTTACGTAGGCCATAAAAGTACACATAAACACTTATAGAAAAAAAATTCTTTAAAAATAAATTAATTAGACTAATAGTGAAACTGTCTGCGTTCCTGTTAATCAATCATTCCTAAGCTCAAACAAAGCAAGTAAAAATAAAAATTAGGACACACATACTTGCATACCTAATTATCTACAAATGTACACGGACAATATAACAATACAAAATAAAAAAGCAACAAGTTTCCAAAAAAAAAGCCAAAACAAGAACACTGCTATAAATAAAAGAGCAAACTAAAAGAATTTCGTAGCACACCAATTTGAAAAGGCATAAAACTATAACTAATAAGCATAAACAATAATTCTTTAACATAAAAATATTCAACCAATAGAATATTTATAGCTCGCCCAACATACAAGCTACATAGTAGCCAAGCAAAAAAAAAGCGAGCAATTGGCGACAAAACAACTACATATATACAACACAAACAATCGCTCAACAGCACTGTAACCAGCAAGAGAAATAAAAAGTAAGTCGCAAAATATGTATGTATAAAAAAAAACAATACTTATAACCCAAACGATAGACTCAACAAAAATTGTTTAAAAACAAAAACTGGAGACTGCAGCTCAAAAAATTATAATAAGCTGATTTCTGTTTAAGCCAAAGCAGCTAGTAAGCATTGTAGTTGTGCAAGCAAGCGTTAAGCGGAAAATTTCAGAAAAGTATTCAAAGTTTTTTTTTATTTATTTCATACATACTACCATGTACATGTATACACGCGCATATGACAGTAGTGCACGCGTTGAATTCTACAACACAAACCAAATTAAAAAAAAAAATTATCAATAGAAAATAAAGCAAAAATAATTTCAAATAAATACAAAGCCACAGCTGTAGCAGCCAACAACAGAAATAATCAACAAGCAATGAGTTTGTTATCATTTGCTTATGAACTTTTTGTTTTGTTATTGCAAACAGAAAGCAGCTTATTTTCTATGATCATGTGCATATTGTAGTACTTATTCGATGTCCACTGGCGTAACCGCGGTGGGCGTTTAAAGGGATTTAAGGCCTCACAAGTAGGCGAATAGTGTCTTGAATATTTTTATGTATGTATTTGTGTGTAAATGCAAACATCGATGTAGCGAAAATGGGCACGAATGACATGAAAAGGCGACAGAAGATAGTGGGGGTAGTTGGGAACGATTAAGATTAAGATTAAGATTAGGATAAAGATTAGGGGTGAGATTGAGATTAAGTTTAAAAGTAAGATTAAGATTGATATTAAGATTAAGATTAAGTTTCAGATAAAGATTGAGCTTGAGATGAAGATAAAAGTTAAGATTAAGATTAACGTTTATATTAAAATTAATAATAAGACTAAGATTAATATTGGGGTTGAGCTTAAGATTTAGATTTAAATTGAGATTGAGGTTGGGCTTGAGATTAAGAGAAAAAGTAAGATTAGTGTTAAGATTAGGATTAAGCTTAAGATAAATATTAATATTAAGAGCAAGTTTAAGATTAAGATTAAGATTAAAAATAATATTAATATTAAGATTGAGTTTGAATTTGACATTTAGGTTTAGATTTATCTTCAAGATTAAAAAGTGCAAAATTATTGTACATATGTACATACAGTGGGGAGCAGAAATGAGTACATGGTGGTAAATATTTGCAAGGTTCTTAAAGTTAGAGCTTTGTAGCTCAGTAAATTTTAGTATGACAAAGTACAAGTTTTAAGTGGCTGCAAATGTTAATTATTTATATTTTTTCTTCTGCTGATTTTTTGAAAAAAATTTTAAAGTGAATCTACGGCTAAGGCTTCGGTAATCAGCCGATTGCTAGAACAAAACCGAATGTTCAATTTGGCTTCGGCTTCGACCGAAAAATCTGCCTTCCGCCGGACTCTAGTGATTTCCAATGACAGGCTCCCGTAATATTTCTAAAATTCCGCAAAAATACCGAAAAGTCCCAAAACATCACGAAAAGTTTCGCAAGCTGCTAAAAGTAAAATAAAAACGAAGAGTCCTGTAAAAATGCTGATAGAATCCAAAATGTTCCGAAAAATAATTAACGTTGTCAGAAAACAACGAAAAGTAGAACACAAATAATCCCGGAAATACTGCCGTACAAGCAAATTGCAACTGAAATCAACTTTTCTCTCTAAATAGTATATGCACTTTTTCGGAAGTCTTTCACTTAGTCATCCATCTCCTTTTAAAGTGTTAATAAGGTTATGATTTTGGTGCTTTTTCTTTCACATTTTGTTTGCAGAAAGTCAATTGTTGTAAAATTGCAATTTTTGCTTTTAAACTCCTATTTAAAAGACTTTCTCAGCTTGTTTTTCTAATAATTGGTTTTGTTACACTTGATTTATAGGAAAATATAAAACTTGATTTCGGAATTTGCCAAATACTTTCCAATAAAAGAATTCTTGCACTGAACTGTTCTAGTGAACTTTTCCTTTTTTGTCAGATTACTTTACTTTCAAAAAATTCACCCACCATTTTGTGTGGGCGTTCAAAGCATCTACATAAGTCAATTACAAAATATTTAAGATATCTCCTTTTGAGTCTTATATACTACCAAAAAATAATTCGCAGTTAACAAAGCTGTCTGCATTGACAATATTTACTTACAATACAATGGGATATAATTACGTGTGACCGCAACCAAATATGCTTAATCAACCATTCGAATTTGGTACGCCATGCCATTTTGAATAGCACTTCAATGTCTGCTGGCTTTTAATGTTTAGGCGATTAATTTGCGCGCTTGTTTTATTTTTTTATTATTTTTTATTACATACATACATACACATACATATTATTCGCCGAACGCTGTTAGGGAGTAGAAAATCCTAATTTGCTTGAAGCAAGGCAGACATTATAAAGCAAGCTATTTTTAGCAGCGTTAATATTTAGCATTTCAATGCGAATAAAAGACTTGCAAATTACTTATAAATTGCAAGCTTCAAACAGAAATTTAAAAAAAAATCAGAAATTAAAGAAAAAACATTTGCCACTTTCAGTTTATTTTAGTTCCACAAAAAATAAAAAAACAACCAAAAAAATAAATTTTATGAAAAACTTAAAAGAATTCGCTATTATTATCTAAATATGTTTTCATTTTGTATACCTTGCACCACTACTAATACTTCGTTGATATTATGTATTTTTTTTTATTAAGCTTACCACGACCTTTTCCTGGATACTTGGAAACGCGACCACTGCTTCCACTGCTTTTCCTGCATCGCTGTACCGCTTCCTTCCCCTGGCGACACAACTCCGTCTTCATTACTGCCAACCTCCACCCAACTAATCGCTTCCGTTGCTGGTGGAATCTTTGGGACTTCCTTTAAGAGCAACCGTCTGCTGCAATAGTGGCTGTCGTAACCAACCCTAAGTGGTACTTTCCTGTCACAATATGTTAGAATCATTCTCTGAAGGACAATCTTCATGCCAAGTATGAAGTCCACGCCGATGATGACTTCATCCACTCATGACACTATAAACATGTTGTACAAGGCCACACCTCCGATTATTACCTCGCATGGTACTTCTCCTAACATTTGGGTGCGCTCACCCGATGCAATCTGCAGCTTTGCTCCAGGTCGATCTTGCCCATTCACACATCCAACAATAGTGAGGTTGCTCGCTTTCCGGCCAATTTGTGTAACGGAGATTATGGGGCCTTCAACTGCTGGATTCAGCACGCGACCTTTTTAGCTAGCTCGCTTTAGTTTAACGGCTGGTTGGTAGCAGGACTACTTATCCTGCGATTGACTTAAGTGTTTTCAGTATCCCGTTCATCACGTCAGGTGTCTCCACTTCCACTCGATGGGCTTTGTAGGCTGGTATACCGCCGCCGTTCCCCGCATAAGAGAGAGTTCCAGCAAATATTGGCTTTGGATTCGCATACATCCGTCTCTTGCTTGGTATACATTCTGCTGATCAATCTCTGGATCTTAACCCTTTCGAGGTGCTCACCTGATGCGTCCCCAATTGCCAAATGCCAATCTCTAAATATCGGAGGCGAATTCCTGTAAACACTCGTTGGCTTTTTGGTAGCAATTCTCCAGCACATCTGGTAAATTTTCTTCCAGTGCTCGCCACCAAAACGTCTTTCCACGGCCCCCATTAATGCATCGTAATTGTTCCTTTCACAGTCAGGAATAGTCGACAAGATTTTCGCTGCAGGACCTTTTAATGCCACGAAGAGCGCGGCGGAATTATCCTCCATACTGCAGTTGTTTGCTGTAGCCGTCTTTTTAAATTTGAGCTCAAAATCTTGGAAAGAAATCGTGCCATCAAAGGTGGAGTTTTTACCTTAGGAGCATTCGTCGAAGTAGTTGGAGGATTCAACTGCAAATCACGGAGGCGACCTGCCAACTCATCTGCATACCTTAGCCTCGACTTTGTCTCCTTAATTATCACTTCAGTTTTCTCTTGCCGCTCCTCGATTTTAACCTGCCTCTCACTGAGTTCTGCGTTATATTTAGCCGTTGACGCGCAATTGCACTTCCCAGTTTTGAAAAATTTACATACATGAACAATTTACCTAGCAATTTTTTTGCAGTTGCTCCAGAATAAAGGGTGTCCACCACCCGTTTATAGAATCCGATTAGGCTATAACCAAGAACCAACTATGTAAGTTGTGAACGGCAACATACTGGCGTTGCTAAAAATTTTAAAAGAGTAACGTTTTGCAGTAAGCTGTTTGTCGCATTGCAGCAAAAACATTAATGGGAAATGAGCAAAAAAAAAAAAATACATTCATATTGAAAAAACATGAAAACAAACGAATAAAGGTGGCAAAGCATCGAATAGCGCCTGTGGCCGGTGAGAAGTTTGAAAACTTTTTCATACATATGTACTTAGGTATATGTATGAATGTATGTTCATTCGATTTTGTACTGCACTTGGAACGACAGGCCGATAGAGCGACCAAATAATTTATGCGTGGCTGCATTTGTTGCACGTTGTTGGCAAAGGAAAAATCTTTGGCTGCTGCCAAGTGTGGTGGCAAGAAAGCCGAGGAGGAAGATGGTGGGATGATAGATATTAAAATTTAAATAAATAACTACGTATAATCTTAGACCGAGTATTCGAAACTTATAACAGTGGAAATGCTCAACTTTTCGAATATGTACTTCAGTCCTACTCTTATCCATAAGCTAAAATATCTTACATGCGCCAAAGAAGGCTTGGTTTAACCTCTATGTTTGTTTGTTATCTTAGTTTACTTCAT